CACGACGAGCCGGTGTCTGCGGGCCGAGGACTCCGATGGGAGCCACTGCACGGTGAGCGACGGCCACTCGAGCGGGTGGGAGATGACGAGGTCGTAAAGCACCGCCGCGTTCTTCTTCCAGTTCCGGTACTCCTCCATCTCCGCCGCGGACGCGGCCGCCGTCGGTTGGGGGCTCGCCAGTGTGGAGGATCCGCCGTCCATGGCTACTTCGATTTGCTGCTTTGCGTTGCGCGGGAAGCGGAGGCGGCGTGCTGCTCGTCTCCCGCCAACAGGGATTTGGGACGAAGCGGCGGGTAGGTAGGCAAGGAGAGGGCTTTTAACGCGGATTAGTTGGGCCTGATCAATACACAAAAAGCCCAAACACACCTAGCTAGCCGCCCATTTTCGGCTCATGAGCCCACGAAGCCAAGGCTTGGCTTGACTTACCAAGCACGAGCATCTCGAGCTCGCGTCCGTTTGCTGCGCCCTCCGCCGCCGCCGCCGCGATGATGCAGTCGCACCTGCCTTCCCCGGCGAGGTTGGGGCTCACAGCCTCGTCGCCGTCGCTCCCGCCCAATCCGGTCCCCTTGAATCCCACGTCATCGCCTCCACACGGCAGTCTGCCCTCGAGTGCAGCCGCTGGCGCCAGCGCGGCCCCAACCCTAACCACCTCGCCGTCGCTGCTACCGCTCCTGCCGCCGCTTCCGCGCGCGCAATCGCTGCTCCAGCTTATATCTTCGCTCGCTTCCAACCTCTTCGAGCTCTCGCCCAGCCGCGCCGCGTGGATCCAAGCGTACCGGGGGTCGTTCCCCACCTTCCTCCCATCGGTGTCCTCCTCCGCGCCGCCGCTCCCAACCCCGACCTCCTCCACCAACGACGCGCTTTCTCTTCTCACCACCCTGCAGACGCAGCTCTTCGAGGCCGTCGCCGAGCTGCAAGAGACCCTCGACCTGCAGGATGCGCGCGCGCGCCTTGCCCGCGAGGCGCGTGCCAAGGATGCTGCGCTGCTAGCCTTTGCGAAGAAGCTGCACGAGGCTCACCAAGTACTTGACCGCCTCGTCGACGACTACGCTGACTACCGCCGCGATCCCAAACGCCCGCGTGGCGCCGCTGCGGCTGACGACTCCGAGCCGGCGTCGGAGGGCCACTTCGGCACGTCCCTCCACTCCAGCCTTAAGCTGGATGATATCCTGGCCTACGCGCACCGCATAAGTTACACAACCTTTGCTCCGCCGGAGCATGGTGCTGGGCTGCCTCTCCGTGTCAGCCTGCCACCTGTACCACAGGAAAATCAGATGAGGGCATCGCAGCTGTATCTGTTTGCTGATTTGGATGTAGGGGTGCCCAAGAAGCCATTGGATGCGAAGGAGGGGATCGCAGCAGAAGTGGAGGCTGCACCACTGTATGAACCACCACAGGAGGGGCCATCGAGGCTACCAAACACCTTGCCACCCATGTTCCCGAAGGAGCTAAAGCCGCCGCCGGGATGGAAGCCTGGTGACCCTATCACGCTGCCACCTGATGAGATACTACCTGGTATCAAGGGCGAAGAGCCACAGGCCCCTGTGCCGCAGCCACCTGTTGCAGTGCGACCAGTGGTGCCAATGGGCCAAGAGCCAATACAGGTCCAGCCTGTGCAGCTTGATTTTGATAGCAGTAGTAGTGATGAGTACAGTAGTGACGTTGGGAGCTCAGAAGAAGATGATGAGGATTAGTGCTCGGTAAGCTGCTCCTTTTTGTTGGCTTTCAATTGTAATTGCCTTCTATCATATGCTTGGGCTTTTCGAGTAGAATCTTCTATGGTAGCGATTTTACCTGCTCATGTCTTCCTGACTATTTATGAACTTTAGGGCTGATCTCAGATCATTGTAATGGTGCTTTATACTTCACTTCATAAACCAATGTATTCTACCATTGATTTTACTTATTATATGCCTAGTATCAATTGTTTACCTTAGTACCTTGCTTTGCTAAATTGTTAGATTCCTACAATACAGTAGATTGTTATTAGATTCAAATTGTTTGTGTTCTCACCAAATAATAATGATTGCTGAGAATGGTCTTTGTGCAAGTGATATGACAATTGAGTTACAAAGTGTTATGATTGTGAACTTCTAACTTTGCACTTGAGATTCATGTTACAGTCGTTTATTTTTATTCTTAGTGAGCCTTTGTTTTACAGGAGTTACTCCATATCTTCTCTATATCTGGAAGCTTATTGTTCACATTGTAAAGTAAGGACAGAGTCAAGTACATTTGAATAACTTGGTAAAGCATTTTTAATAGATATTCCAACTACCTTGTTATTGAATATACTCTGTTAAAGATTAGTCTAGGCTAGTTGGAAGATCAACCTGTGATTCACTATTCAACAAATGGTTTGTTGGCTCCGTTTGCATGTTGAACCTTGGGAATGTAGCTGTTAAATGCAACCTGGAACTTTATTTAAGCTTTTGGTGCGATGTGCAAGGCATTATATGTAATTGCAATAATACCACACATCCACATTCCAGCATTTGCTTATTTTGACCCTTAAGTATATTGAGACAAGGGATAAATTGTCTTCAATTGGTATAATCTACCATAGCTTCTTGATGATGTTAAGTGTGTGCATACTATATACTTTGTCAACAACAACAAAGCATTGTAGTGTCAAGCAAGTTGGGATAGGCTAGAGGTGAAGCCCAGCATGAGCACAAAAAGGGAAACACTGTTAAATATATGTGTTTGGCTGGAGAAGGCACTAATGATTTCAGTATTGCTAGGGGATCTACATGTCTTACATTTAAATATGTGTTTTTGAAAAAAAGGTCCTCCATGTTTTTCTTTCAGGGTGTACATATGGTCCGTGATCAGTCTTGAAAGGACTTACTGAATTTGTTATCCTGACCCTATTCAGCAATATCATAGGCTGTGTTGCGTGCTAATTGCAGCATTGCAATTCACAAAATTCACATCGGGTGTGTTTGGATGGGCAGTTAAGGGGCTTAGATAGGCTCTAGGAATGCAGCCTTGCTGTGTTTTGATGCCTAACCGAGGCCCTATGCCAGGCCATGGGATAGCAACGGAGGGATCCTAGCCAGGCTTGCTGGAAACGCTCACGGCGAGCGTTGTCATGGAGCCAGTCTCTAGGGTGCTCATGCCCGACGCTCACGGAGAGTGTTATCATGGAGCTAGTCTCTGGGGTGCTCATGCCCGTAGGGGTCATGACTCTGCTCACATTCCTCTCACCATTTGCTGAATCTCTCAATTCCCTCGCGCTGCACTCTTTTCTGGTCGCCTCCTTCCTTGCAACTCTATCCCTGTCCGTGTCCAAGCCGCTTGAGGAGAGGAGAACCTACATCTGTTGCTGTGGATGGTTTTGTTCAAAAGAAGGCCACAAGGGGGAAGGGAAAGGCACTGTTGGCGAGGGTGAGTACGAGGTGACATGGCCTCTGACAGTTCCTGCGTATCTGAGGTGGCGAGGTTTAAAGTTGTCTCTCTCCATTCATGGTGCCTGAGATCTGGCGGTGCTCGCTGGGTGGGATTATTGGTTGCAGGTTTGCAGGGTCCTTCCTCTTCTCCCTCTTGTAGTGCTTGCGCACTGGATTGGTGCTGTAATCCTCCCCTTCTGTCTGTAGCTTCTTCTCTGCTTTATTTTTTAGTTATGCTTTGTTTTCCAGAATCTTGAGATTGGATTCAATGGTCTGATACAGGAGATGTGATCATATATGGTGAGTGTTCGTTTCTGTCAGATTACATGTGTTTTTTCTTCAAATTTTCCATGCCTTCCTATACTTTGTATACAATTTTGCCCACAAGAAGAATAAGGTGATGACAGTGTGTCACAAACTAAGACTACTCCAACCAACAAAAATGACTTGTCTTACTTTTGTCCTCTGCTTTCATATCAATATATCATATCAGTAATGTCGAGTAGTTTATAAGGTAAGCTGTCTGAGAAGAAGATCCAAATGGAGCCATAGTAGACTTTATTCACCTCTTTTGTCAGCATGCATAGAAAGCATTTGTGTTTCAACCTAAAGATCAGTGAAACCATAAGTATCACACGGGTTCATGTTTTGGTCACTATTTTACGGTAACACGGTTTAGCTTATGCTCGAGATAGAATCATTTAGTGATTTAATCATGCTTCATTTCTGTTATGGGTGCTGGAATATGGTGCTACTTTGCAAGACTGGCATGTACATACTACAAAAATAAATGGCACATCTGACCTTGACTTAGAACACGATTGACTCTGCTGTGTTTGTATATTGCTTTATGCAGTAAGATTGCTCGCAAAAAAAAGATACTTTTTTATCTCTTTTTTTCTTAAAATAAACTCAGAGGCCCTGTTCGCTTCTTTTATAATCTGTACTTTTCAGCTTGTTTTTTCAGTCAGAACAGTATTTTTCTCTCACAGCAAATCAGCCGGAACAGTATTTCGGCTTGTTTTTTCAGCGAAGCGAACACGGGCCAGAGCTGATAAAGCTATTATTATCATTGGCTTCACTAGCTAGGGTTTCTTCGCGTAGCTGGAGCTGCTTGGAGCCATGCCAAACCAGGCTGTATCGGGACTACCGGATCGTCTCTGACCATGTTTTAACTGTTTTTTTCCTTCTTGTTTAGCCGAATCTTCAGAGCGATGCTTATACATGTGAATGCTGCATTTCCTAGGTCCTAGGATGCATGTGATCTGAATAAGGTCATTTCGTATGGTCCCGTGGTTGGGTGTCGAGCGAGTCCAGATGCTATGCAGTGCATTCAGCTGTCCCAGGTCGAAACAAAGGTTGATCAGGGATGCAGCCATGCAGGATCGATCAGTGGCTCTGCAGGAATCATCTAGCCACTGACCGAACAGGCTTACAGTAACTCTCTTGCGCTGCTGCCGACGCCCACTTGTGCGTCTTGGTATCTCACGACCTTCTCAGCCGAAAGGCATCAATCAGCCTGCCCCAGTGGCGAGAATGGAATCGTTCGAAGGCAACAAACTATAGTGGTTAGGATACAGCTCATGCATGGAGCGCGGCGGTACCGCAATGTCGCTGCTGCTGCTCGTGCTCGTGTTGTCGGTGTCGCCATGGCAGGCCGCCGCGGCGGCGGGAGGAGGCCGGGGCGGCAGGCCGCGGGTGCCGGCCATCCTGGTGTTCGGCGACTCCATCGTCGACACGGGCAACAACAACGCCGTCCTCACGCTCACCAAGTCCAACTTCAGGCCATACGGCAAGGACCTCAACGGCGGCGTCCCCACCGGCCGCTTCTCCAACGGCCGGGTTCCAACGGATTTCGTAGGTTCGTGTCTCCACCTCCACACCCCGCTGCAACTCGAGCACACGAAGCTAACGAACAATCACTGTATATATGAATGCCTGTAAAACGACATTGCCATGACTACGCTTGTGTCTAGCTTCACGGCTCGGCTTGAAAGACCTGGTTCCGGCGTATCTTGGCACTGACCTCACCGACGACGACCTCTGCACTGGCGTCAGCTTCGCTTCTGGAGGCACCGGCTACGACCCCCTCACCTCCACTCTCGTGGTAATTAAACAACCAAGCGATCAGTCCCATGTTCTCTGGTCCGGTGTCGAGATGTTTGAAATGCCACGCCATGCATTCTTCGTTTTTTCAGGCGGTCCTGCCGATGCAGGAGGAGCTCAACATGTTTGCCGAGTACAAGGAGAAGCTCGCGGGGGTCGTCGGAGATGAAACCGCCGCGGGGATCATTGCCGACAGCCTGTTCCTTGTCTGCGCCGGAACAGACGACATCGCCAACAACTACTACCTCGCCCCTGTCAGACCTCTGCAGTACGACATCTCGGCATACGTGGATTTCCTTGTTCAGCAGGCTTGCGACTTCATGAGGGTGAAATCTCATTCAATTCAGTTCTTACTCTATCCCTCTCTCTAAAAACAACAAGTGTTGGAGTTACTGAATTTTTTTCACCAATCTGCATTCACGTCTTGTCATGTCTGCTCATGATTGGTGTGTTGTCACTGCAGCAACTCTACCAGCGAGGGGCCAGGAGGATCGCAATCCTGGGGATGCCGCCGGTCGGGTGCGTGCCGTCGCAGCGGACTGTCGCCGGCGGCCTGGCCAGGGACTGCGACCCGGCTCGCAACCACGCGGCGCAGCTGTACAACTCCAGGCTGAAGGAGGAGATCGCGCGGCTCCAGGAGGAGTTGCAGTGCCAGAAGATCGGCTACGTGGACATCTACGACATCCTGCAGGACATGATCACGAACCCCTGCAAATACGGTGCGCGCCTCGCTTGCCTTGGCTGCCATCCTGAACTGGCTCTGAGGCTCCTGAATTGATGGCTCGTTGGCTGCATTGCATTGCAGGCTTCGAGGTCTCGACGAGAGGATGCTGCGGCACCGGGGACTTCGAGGTGTCGCTCCTGTGCAACCAGGTGACGGCGTCGACGTGCCCCGACGACCGGAAGTACGTGTTCTGGGACAGCTTCCATCCTACCGAGAGAGCATACGAGATTATCGTGGACTATCTGTTCCCAAGATACGTAGAGAACCTACTATGATTGCTTGCTGCTTACCGTCGCTTATTTAATTTGTTGCTTGCTGCTTACCGTCGCTTCTTCATTCGTTTCTGTATGAGCAGAGGAAACAAAAAAAAAGATCGAGTCCTAAAGCAAAAGCTCAATTGCAGGGAATTTAGTGTTGTATCAGTCCACTTATATGTATAGTACAATATGCTACAATTTACATTTTACGGTCACCGGAGAAGGTTGCTAGTGCTCCCTTCAAGGCTAATTTGGAAAGTCAAATTTTCTTAGAATCCCTGACTTTTTTTTAGGGTGAGATATCCTTGAGGAAATAATTTAAATAATTATGTAATTTTTCGTAGAAGGTTTTTCATCTCTGGGTGTGCCTTCCCTTCTTCCAAATTAGCCCTCAAAGTCAAAGGGCATATAAAAAAAAGATCATCTAAGAAATTCTAAGCGTCCGGGGCGATATTGCTGACGAGACGAGAACGCGTACATTTGAAGGAAGTGACACCCAGCTCCAGTTCTCAGAATTCAGCAATGACTGCTTGAGTGCTTGTTACAAGTTGTAATGCTTTTTTTTGTTTATTTGTTCTGTGTGAAATTAGAGCTGGCTCGTTAACCATATGAGTAAAAGGCTAGCTTAGCTCATTGAAGAACAACTAATAAGTCGAGTCGAGCAAGCTCTTGGGCTATGAGCTTTCGGTTTAGTCCTAATCCCAATCGGTCACCCCGAGACCCATCTTCGGAGCCAGCGATCAGCTGCTCCACCCGACGCCCGCACAGCCAGCGGCACGTCGTACAAGACTAACGGCAAACCGATGGCTGCTGGCCGGCGCTCCTGTCCTGCCTCCAACCCAAGCCCGTGACCCTTTGGGCCACTGCATGTAGGACAACACTTTTCCTCCACTAGCTGCCATTGTGTCGTAGGCCTCAGCCACCGAGCCGCGGGAACACGGCGTCACCGTCACAGCCTCCTTTTGTTTTCAGTCTGGTCGTTTGTTGTTTCCATCCTCTCCTCTAGTTTGCTACTACCATTTCATTTATGATGAGTTATGTATAGGTTATCATGTATTTCCTTCGTTTCAAATTATAAGTTGTTTTGTTTTTCCTGTAGGAAATAGAATTACGGATGATGCTAAGACTGACACACAAGTTGTTCCTAACCAAAGGATTCTAAATTTACGACTACCGCACATATATAGGTTGGTCGTCCTCTGCTCATTGTTACTACTAGTACGAGATGCTTATGTGCATAGTGATTTGGTTGATCATAGTTAGATTCTCTTGATCTGAATTAGTGAATGGTCTGGCCCTCAGATTTCCATGAACAAAGATTTTTTTTTTTGGAATTCTCACGAGTACTTTGTATTTCAAATATTGGCATGGTATTTAAACTATTTGGGTTGTTGTTTATGCATGGTTAAACTTAATTGTTGAACATAAGATTTATTATGTTTGATTGCACTTTATTGTACCATAATGCATGGCAACATTTATGTTTTTTTACCATCTTACTAAACGGATTACCCAATTAGTATATATATGGCAAACCTTAGATCCATCACTGCTTGATCAATAGACTTGTATTCAAAGTGCGAGATGCATTTATTTTTTAGTCAATCAAAATATATAGTGAGAGAAATTAAAGGTTAAAATCTATTTTGTTTTACTTTTTTATGATTAAAATACACTTATTATTCTAGAACAGAGGGATACTTTCTAGGCATGGTGTGGCACTAATGTAGTCCAGGAGATAGCGCTGCTCCATCAAAAGTTCTGCTGGTGAACATGAAACCACCCAAAGAAAATCTAGTATGGGCTCACCAAGACATACGTATGACCAATATACTAGCACACACAGTCAACTTGATTGAAAGTATAGTAGAACGTGAATATATAGTAGCGACTAGCGAGCGAACAATCACGGCGTGCCAATGCAAGTACCGTACCGCGGCATGCCACGATTCCTTACATCCAGTCTACCAAAAGCGCGCGCCAGAGCATGCAGATGCACGTGACATGATTGGAACATCACTCATCCTGCGAGTGCGAGCAAAGCAAGAGCTACAGTAGTCGCGGTGAAAAGGGGACATGCGTGCATGCCATTTGCCACCCATGGTTGCCGCCGGCCCGTGAAAACGAGATCTGGTGGTCACGCATGGCGAGGAAGATTGCCGCGGCCGGACGATGCAGCCGGGGCCGGCCCGCGAAAAAGACGGCGACGTGAGTTTTCCAGGCCACCTCAGCGAGATTAGCCGAATCTGAAGCAAGGCTGGTGGCTGGAGCGCATCTTGGCGCGCGCGCGCGAGAATTTATTTGCTGCACTGCACGGCAGTACTGCACACATGCATGCATGGGGCCAGGCCACACGCGCGCAAAGTTTCATGTTGTTTGCCTGTACGTACCGCTGCGCAATCGTACCCAAACCCATGGTGGATTCAGAACTTGAGATCCTCTCTGCCGCTCTGTGATAGGGTGCGAATGGCGGCACATGTGGCGAGCGATCCTGAGGATGTCTAGCTCAAGTGCTGCTGCAGCGATCGAGCTCCTCAACACCTTGCCCGTGTTTCATTTTGGGTGGCCACGCATCCATATGCATTTCTGAATCCAAAAGGAAGAGGATACACATGTGTGCTTATAAAATGTGACGTGGTTACAAAAGTTGTATGCTCTTCACTCCTGTAAACCTGTGTTGTGCTTATAAAATGGGAGGCACAACGAGAACGAACTAAACGAGCTAGTCTTATACCAGCATGCCGCGGTACGGTACTTGCATTGGCACGGCGTAATTAATCTACTATGTTTTTTTTTTTTTTTGAGAAATCAGGAGGAGCCAGAGGCTCCTACTGTAATTTTATTAAGAAATTAAACAACAGAGTACAAAATCTGAAAAGCAGACAGCAGAAGACAGAAGAGGGGAGGGGGTTTCAGGGTACAAAGAAGGAGATGAAGAAAATCATGAAAATTATAAATGAGATTGGGTCTGTGATTCTAAGAGGGGGGGCGATCCCACCTTTCGTCTTGTGCAGCAACAAGAGTGATTCCACCGTAACATATCTTTTGCAGTCCGCAACGGAGGGGGTTTTGTTTCTGAAAATGACATCATTTCTCATCATCCAGACGGCCCAACAAAGTATGATGAAGATGTCAAGGGAGAAAGCAACATTCAGGAAGGTTTTCCAGGCTTGAAAGATTTGAGGAATTAAGAGGTGGTCTGCATATTGGAAGTTCAGCATCCCCTAACAATTCTTAGCAAAAGGGCAATAGAAAAGCAGGTGCATTACTGTTTCTTCAAAGGATTGTTGGCGAAGCACACAATGATAGTCTTCTAGATGCATTCTTCTTCTTAGCATGTTTCTTGTGCTTACAAGCCAAAAGAACACCTTGTGCTTGCTTTGACTGGAAGCCTTCCAAAGCCATTTGAAGATAGGGTCAACCTGAGTGTGACCTGTTAATATTCTGTAAGCCTTGGAGGAGGAGAACTGGGAGGAACTCCAGATGTAGGTCCAGTTATCGTTCATGGTGTCAAGCACTAATGTTGAGAGTTCAAACTGGAGCTCCTGCATCTGGTTGTAGGCTTCAACTGAGACTGGCAGGTTAAAGAGATCAGAAAGAGCAACAACAAATTGAACTGCAAGCATGATAATTCTGCTCTAGTGATTTTAGCTCAAATCTAGATTAGTACGCAATATTGAAGTATAGTAGATAAGTAGAGCAAGAATCAACTCAAGACTAAATGACACGGTGGTTAGCAACGGTATGGAGGGAAAGAAGATGTTGATGACCAAGGGGCCTACGGCCCCTATCTGAACTAGGTGACTGGTAGGATGCCAAATCTTTTTTTAACTCGGTGCCTCTTTAGTTCCCAAAATTTTACAAAATTTTTCAAGATTCTCCGTCACATCGAATCTTTGGACGCATGCATGAAGCATTAAATATAAATAAAAAATAAAACTAATTACACAGTTTAGACAAAATTCACGAGATGAATCTTTTAAGCCTAATTAGACTATGATTGGACACTAATTGTTAAATAACAACGAAAGTGCTATAGTACCATTTCTCAAAAAATTTCGCCAACTAAACAAGACCTCGGCCTCCCACGACAGTACGAGGTCGAGATCTCTCTCGCTAGCACACGAGAACTCTCAAACATTCAACTCCTCTCATTTATAACCTGTATCACAAACACGGAGTATTTAAGCTCGGCAACACGATCACTCCACTCTATATAAAACTAGGTCAGTCTTTCAAATGAGTATTCGCGCGACGATCAAATTCAATAGTTGGCGATATGAATCATCGATAGTCTATTAATGAAACTAATAGTCTATTAATGAAACTAATAGTTAGCATGTGCTAGCTAATAGTTGATCTAGTAGCAGATATGTACGAATTATCTAGTAGTAATTTTAGCTGCTAATTATTGGTGCAAGTGGATCTAAACTTGCTCATAGTATAACCATCAAAAGCTATTTAGCTGGAGTCCGTAAATAAATTATAGGCCCCGTTCGCTGGTCTGAACTTTGGTTGAAACTGGCTGAAAAACACTGTTCCGGCTGAATTGTTGTGAGAGAAAAACACTGTTCCGGCTGAAAAAACAAGCCGAACAAGCCAAATTTAAGACAAGCGAACGGGGCCAGTAAGGAACTCTTTTTTCTTGAGAATTACACGGTACAACATAGACCCCCACAACACGCATTGTAACTGAGGAATTTTTTTTCTTGAGAATTACATAGTACAACATAGACGCCCACAACATGCATTGTAATTGAGGAATTCTATTTTTAGAATTACAACGTAGACACCCACAACACGCATTGTAATTGAGGAATTCTTTTTCTTTTAAAATTACACAGTACAACGTAGATGCCCACAACATGTACGCATACTCACCCCTATGAAACATCACAAAGTCACCACAGATACCTCATTGTCGATGGGGACGTCGCCTACCATTGAAAGGGCCATTAAATCCAGGAATAAATTCAGGAAAATGGGGGACGTCGCCTACCATTGAAAGGACAATTAAA